GAGTATCTAGCTAGCTTAATCTCCTCGTAACTAAACTGAATTTCTACATATAGTTCATCAATAATGCTTCCGTTCTCTCTCAATTGTGTATAGAAAAAAGAAAAGAAAGAAGAGAAAATAGCATTGTGATAGCATAAAATAATATTGAGCATGCATATATTTTAACAAACAGTAATAAAGCCACGTCAAGCCAGGGAAAGGGAGAAATTAAAGAATGAAGAGTAGCACTAGTACAGGAAATATAAAATATTGAGGTGAAGATTAATTTAAAGAAATTTATAACATAAAGCAATCTAAGTACATGCATGTATGTGACCCAACAACTATGACTGTGACAATAATAGCTACAACTATTATGATGACTACAACTATTTAGACGATGACTACGATAACTTAGAAACTGACAACATATCTCTATGGTGGAATTTAACTGGTTGTTTAAAGGACATCTCCAACAACAACACCCTAAAAAATTAAAAAATAAAAAATCATAATACTCGATTCCTAAGGGTAATTAAACACACTAGACCATATCAATCCATTATTCTAGTTGTTTTGATATGTGAATGGCACCATCATCTTTGCATGTTACCCGTTAGACCAAACTTAAGGTTTTTAGTGTGCTTGAGGATTCATCCCATCAACAAACTGCATCTGCGGCTATTGCAGCTTCTTTACCCTAGAATTCTCCTTGATTTGAGTGAAAGTCTCACTAGGACCCTTCATCACACCTCCGTCTCTCACCTCCTGAGGCTGAGGTGACTTGTTGAGTGTTTCCATCTTCTTCTGGATTTCTTTAACGTGTTGTTCTATGAGCCAACCTAAATCGTTGAGATCAATAAGGTTGAGTTGGTGGAGGGACTTCCCCTAAGATTTTGCAACATGATATCCATTATATCCTTCTCGTAATTATCGTTGTATTGCTTCTTCAGTTGGCCGGTTGCCTTAGTGATCTTTTAGTGCAAAAAGCTCTCTTAAATCACCATCTTCTTACTCTGCTCCATCTCGAGCATCCTCTTAAAGTCAGCAAGCATGTGTTGGGCTCCAAGAGGGGAAGGCCAAACATCTGGTTGCGAGTCATAAGGGCTGTAAATAATTACACAGGCTTTGACATCGCAAAGAGTGCAAAGTTTACTCACTTTCTTCATCAGCCCCATTTTCTTGAATGTGGCTTTTCATGCAAAATTGTTAGTGATATAAGC